TGTTGAATTAGCTATCGATCAGCTTTGTCCAGCATGGGTTCCAGTTGCTTCTCCGTTGCTGAATAATGAGTTAGGCGATCCCTTTTTGGAACTGCCTTTTACAATCAAGGAGTTGAATTTGGCTATAGACAAAGCAAAGAAAAATAGTAGCCTAGGAATTGATGGAATTGACTATCTAATAATTAAATTTTTACCAGTGCAATTAAGGGAGTGTCTGCTTGTTATCTGTAATGAGATGTTTCAGTCTGGTATCTTTCCAGTTGAGTGGACTAAGTATGGGGTAATGTTTATCACCAAGAGTGACGGTAAAAAGGTGCGTCCAATTTCGCTGACTTCTTGCCTATTAAAAATATTTGAGAGAATGTTAAATATCAGGTTATGCTGGTGGTTGGAGTTTTATAAGAAACTGCCAAGATCTCAATTCGGCTTTAGGCGAGGTAAATCCTGCATGGACAATTTGGTGATTCTATATTCTAACGTTCTTAAGTCCTTTGATTCTAAGGAGTGTCTGACAGCTTTGTTTGTAGACGTTAAGGGTGCTTATGATAATGTGCTGGTTGATAAACTAATAGAGGGTCTAAAGAATGTGGGTATTCCGAGGTTGGTGTTAACCTTCATCTATAATTTGGTATCTATGAGGGCATTGTACATTAGGTTTGGTGAAATTGATGAATATGGAAATGTATTTAAAGGGTTAACACAAGGAGGGTACTAAGCCCCATTTTATACACTATGTATATGAGCTTTTTGGAGGAAATTAGTCGTGATCGGTGCCAGGTGATTCAATTTGCAGATGATATCGCGTACTTTAGCTCTTCAGTGAATTCCAATGTAGCTATTGATCGGATTGAAAGTATTATGAGAGATACCGGGTCCTTCTTAGATCAGTGTGGGTTGGAAATAGCTCCTGAAAAGTGCCAGCTATGCATATTCAGTCAAAAAGCTTCAATACGGCAAATAAAGTGGTCTATTTTTATTAATAATAGAAGGGTAGATTGTAAAGAAGTGGTCAAGTTTCTTGGTTTAAAATGGGAGTCATCGTTATCTTGGGAACACCAGGTTCGTGTTATTAGGGAGAGATGTTTGAAGCCGTTGTCTATGTTGTCTTATTTAAGAACAACTTGGACAGGGGCTGACCCAGCTATATTGTTGAGAATGTTTAGAGCACTAGTGAGATCATGTATGGAATATGGTGCATTTCTGTTTCACCCTCTTAAGGATAAACTACTGAACACTATGTGCAAAATCCAAATCGAGGCATTCGGTTGGCAATGGGGTATAGGAGTTCGACTCCTATTAAGATTATTCTTGCTGAAGCTAATGAGCCTCCCTTTTTTAGTAGAGTCAGGTACTTGGCTATGAACTTTCTAACCCGGATGGTGTCGTATAATGAACACCCAGCTCTTTTAGTCCTGGAAGAACTAATTGAAAGGAGAGAAAATCCAACTAGAATATATACCAATGAGTATCCGATGCTCTTGAGAGAGTTTGAACAGGTTATTCCTATACGGCATTATATTGCCAACAGTGATAGACCATTGTGCTATCAGTTGACATATGATGCTCTGTATTTTAGTCCCGGAATCTCTTTCTATAAAGGTATGAGTATATTAGAAAGCTCCGATTGTGATGCAGAATTCAATAAAATTTTTGATAAGGACCTAAAAGAGAGTAGCTGTTGGTTTACAGATGCTTCTAAAGTAGAGAGTGGTGAATTTGTAGGATTTGCACATTTAAGGGCTGGCTCTGACGAGGTGGAATTATCCAGGACTGCTAAATATGCTACCATTTTTCTGCTGAGGCCATGGCCATAGAATGTTCATTAAATAGTATTCTAAATCGTAATATTACTAAGGCGTGCATTTTCAATGACTCTAAAAGTGTGTTAATGGCTCTGACTAACTCTTCGAGTCCGGAGAAGCAGGCATCTGTGATCCTCAATATCAGAGAAAAACTATGGAAATTAGAGGAGTTGGGTAGTAGCGTTAAATTGTTTTGGATCCCTGCGCACAAAGGAATTGAGGGGAATGAAAGAGTTGATGACGCTGCTAAACGAAGTATTCGGGTTGGACGTGATTCACAGATTTTGCTACCGGCATCTGACTTTAAAAGCCTCTGGAAGCTTAACCTTCGGAAAGACTTTGAGCTTTGGTGCACTGAAGTTGATAAAGAAAAGGGAAAGAAATACTTTCAACTTTATTATAAGGAGGGCGCGGCTCCCTGGTTCGTTAACTTTAAATTTAGGAGAAAAAGTATAGTTTCAATAAATAGACTACGAGTTCGCATACGTCATTAAATGAAAGTTTATATCGTTTCAATATTGTCCAGTCCAATTTGTGTGAGTGTGGATAAGCTCCAGATGAGCCAAACCATGTGTTCTGGCAGTGTGAGAAGTGGGAAAAGAAAAGAAGGCTCATGATTAGAGATTTAATACGTAATAAGCAGTATCCTCCTTACCACATCGACTGTATGTTGAGTGTCATGAATGTTAATGTTATTATAAGTATAGCAAGATTTATTAACTCCATTGATGTAAAGATTTGAGTAGTTTATCATAAGATCAAAGTTAATATGTTAAAAAGAGAAAAAGATAAGTTAAGGCAATAAATTAATTGAAAGTTTAATTTTCTGTTGGGTGGAGTGTAATCCAAAGAATTCATTATATTATGTTTGACCAGTTTGTTATGATCTCGTTTGTAATATTCATGAGTGTAGTACAATTTAAAGCTAAAGTCTTATTTGAATTTGAATTTAAATGTCAGATATTGTGCAATTGCACCTTCTATGGAGGGGCGCTAGTTGTGCCTTATGAAAGTTCTATAGCTTAAGATATATAGTTTCTATTTCACAAGTTCAATAATAATTGTAAGAAAAGTTTATATTTTTGTACTCTAGGAATAAGCTTGTTTGTACTTTACATATCAATCTGTGTATTCAGGCTGAATGAACTGTTCTTTTGGAACTTCTGTTCTAGCCATTTCTCTTTTTTTCAAATTAAAACGATAAATACTCTGTTACATACAGTATATTATTATTTAGTGAGAAAGTTCCTGCGTATCCTAATTCAAAAAAGGTTTTGGTGTAGCTATTTTTCATTGTAATTATTTACTCCATCATATTAATCTTATCCAATTTTAATTTTTTTTGTATGTAATTATGAATGGATTCATTTTTTATTATTAATTGTTTTTTATTTTTCAATGATTAATTTATAAAAATTTGTTTCTTCTTAATTCAATAAATAAATCATGAAACTTGAAAAGAACTGCATGTAAGTCAAACACAACAAGAGAAGCTCAAATGACTAGCCTCATCACTGGATATCATAGATCCTAAGAACTATAATTCTTAATTTATATGAGAATTTACCGTATATATTTTGATCTGAAATGTATTCTAGTATATTTAAATAAAATTGAATATATGAGAATATATTCGCGAATATAATTGATCAGCCAATTCTTACATACACAAAATTGAATTGCAATGCAAACTTAAAAACATATTCCAAGATATTAAACAGTTTGTGAATAATAACCCGTGTGGAAATATTTTTTCTGATATATTCTAAAAAATTCGGAAAAAAAGTTCTGAAAGGTTCTGAAATGTTCAATATTTGTTCTGAAGAACTCGGAAAAGTACTCTGAAACGTTGTCGTAATTGGAACATACTTTTTCAGAAAGATTCAGAGTCAATCAGAAGGAAAAATTTAGAAATATGGAGTTTTCAGAGTAATTCTGAATAAATAAACGATAATCAGGAAAATAAAAAGTGAAATTTTTGAGATTTTCAAAGAGTTTCAGAGTAAATCAAAATTAAATATAGAATTTAAATTTTAACATTTCAGGATATTTCAGAAACAATCAATATAAAATATGGACTTCAAATTTTTACATTTCAGAATATTTCAGAGACAATTAATATAAAATATGGACTTTAAATATTTACATTTCAGAATATTTCAGGATATTTCAGAAACAATAAATATAAAATATGGACTTTAAATTCTTACATTTCAGAATATTTCAGAAAAAATCAGAAATGTGGAGTAATTTTCGGAATAAGTTGAAAAAAAATTGAAATTAATCTGAGATAGTTGCATTCATCAAAGAAACATATTTATTGCAAAATTATAAAATTATAAAGTATCTTATGAATATAATACAATAGAGTTACAATAGGAATTAAAAATGAAACCAAAATCTTATATACTTCATAAATAAATTAAATGAATGATTTTCGATAATTTAAATAGCCAAAATGTCCTAGATTCCAACGTTTTCATCATAGTCCTGTCATCATAAAGAATTTACATTTTTTAATGTTTTCATCATAATGACAAAACTATGTTTAAAAGAATAGGCATCTTGGACATTTCGCCTATTGAAGTATTAAAAATCATTAAATCAATTATAAAGTAAATTATTGCTAAACTTTATAGAGAAATGAACATTGATCATTAAAACTCTCAGTCTATGCAAATCATTTAAATCTCTCTATGCTGTACATTATTTGTAAGAACAAAAAAATTACATTAAATAAAACAGAATAACTTTTTTATAAAACTTTTCGTAATAAAAAATATTTATAGCTATATCTATGATTAGAAGAAACCACTAGTGATGGTTTTACAATATCGGGGTAACCATATTGCAAATACTGATTAATGTTCAACTTAACATAACATCAGTCATTACCTTAAAGAGGTAGGTTTATCAATCATTTATCTCAAGAAATATTCAATAGAAATTAAATGAAAAAAAAAATGTTAATCTCTTGTACTCTTTGGACGAATTGAATTGATGATTTTCGATAATTCAAATAGCCAAAATGTCCTAGATTCCAACGTTTTCATCATAGTCCTGTCATCATAAAGAATTTACATTTTTAATGTTTTCATCATAATGGCAAAACTATAATGAAAGAATAAGCATCTTGGACATTTCGCTTATTGAGTTATTTAAAATCATCAATTGAATTTACGCATTAGTATAATTATTTTCATCAGAATCGTTTTCATTGTTCCTACCCTTACGTTTTTTTTTGGCTATCGTCTTTCTGGCGCCTCCAATGGCTCGTCCCAGGTAAGCATTTACTTCCTTCATTTCAACAGTTTGTGTCATTTTATCGCGGTGTCTAAGATACCTCTCAAACTGATTTATTACAACTAACTTTTTATTTTCTTCGAGAAGTGGACGGTTCTCTCTCCCCTCTATGTGAGCGACAGATCTATTAGCCAATTGTTCTTGCCCCCAGAGGGCATAAGCTAATTTTGTAACGAAGAGACTTGGTTTAACTTGACTTTTTGATTTATTATAAGCAACTTCTCTAATCCACTCGCCCTCTCCCAAGTAAATAAGATCGGATCTTTTCGTTCCTACAGTGAGATTCGCCTCATTATTCAAATTCAAGTTGTTCGGTAAAAGTAATCTCAGTGGTGGTGCTTCTATGGTTGAGGCTGAGTTATCTATTTCAACCACCTGAAAAATCAACAATTAAATGATTTTAAAATATCAACTGTAGGGAGAGGTTTCAAGACGACAGTTTATTGGCTCTACAGAATTTTCTTTTATATATATGGCTGTAACCCGACAATTTCTGTAAGTAATATAGTTTATGTATTTGTGCATCATGTAATTGTTTTTGCAAAACTAGCCAAGTTTAACAATTATTGTAAAAAACATCTAATCAAACCATACTAACAGTATAAATGTTTTTAAGGACCTTATGTCTTTTGCATTATAAAAAAAAAGGATAGTTGAAAAAAGTTTCGGTCAAACTATTTTGTGTATTAAACATTTCTAAAATTAGAGGAATATTAAATAATGGCTACTCACATCTTCAGTGTCTGCACTTGTACTAGCTCGGGCTTTTTCGTGGGCATCTATAATGGCCTCAGCCATCTTCCGTTTTACTGCTTTTTTTTTTGTCTCAAGCTTCTGTAAGGCATTATGTATATATATTACTGTCATAATCAAAGTTGTAATGGTTGTAAAATTTGTAAATAAAAATAAATAAATTATATAATTTTGCTATATTTTCAATTTGGTAAGGAAAGCTGTCGTTGAATAGATTTTAATAAATATTATTAAATTATCACTTTATCAATAAATGAGACATAAAAAAATATTGTTAGTTATCCATTGTAAAAGACTAAAAAGACACAAATTTTTATCTCTTAAAATAAATAAAGGTGATTATGAGGAGAAAATTGTAATAGTAAAGTAAGCTATTGAAGATTTATGTTAGTGGAAATTAAGTGCAAGTATTAGATCAAATTCAACAAGAACTTATCACTACTTTTCAGTAATTTCTTCTGATACTTTATTATCAGGGTGAAGTTGTTATTGTAATGGCTCCGTACCTTTCCGCTTTTGGAATTAGCAAGTAAAGTATAGACAGTAATAATAATAGACGTAAAACATTATATTTAAGATTTCCGGATTTCTATACTCTTCACCTTTTGCTGTAATTCTTAATACATAAACGCAAATAATTAATGATCAAACTACAGGTGTATTAAAAGCAGAAACAAAATTTGACGGACTCATTCGATCTCACAATCATCATGAAAACAACTATAGCTCTACTCAAAAACTGTACTATCCACTCTACTGAATCATAATAACTATTCAAAGCTATGAGTGTAATTAAGACCCATAAATAACTGTCATAACATTGAACTCATTGAAAAACTTCTATTTCAAAAGGATTACCGAAATTATTTTTTACGTAATAATAAAAATGCTGAATTTCAATAAATTAAAAGTCTTTTTTATTGAAACAATAAACAAGTTTCATATTTAAAAAATGATGAATATATTTACCTTTCTTTGTACCTTAATCACTTCCTCTTCGTCTTTATCACTTTTACCGTCATCATCGTTTTTGACGTTTCATCAGTTTCATCATCTGTATCCATAATATCTTCAATTTTATCGGAGTCGTTTATTTTCGGATCAGGTATTCTTTTTTCTGCAATTATATTCTCCAATTCCTCTTGTGTTTCTTAAAAAAAATGTATATGTATATAAATTGATACTAAGTAGTTGGATATAATTAGATAGAATTATATTGTTCTTCAATAATTTAAAATTATTTATAGAAAACGAACAGTTTCTATTCAAAAACATACAAAAGTAATAGTAAATCATGTGACTAAGAAGAAATTTACACCTTTTATTTATTGTACTTATTTATTCAAAGTACAATATGATAAATTATTTTCGTTGGTGGAATAAAAAATACGTTCTCGTGCAAATTAACATTATAATTATAATGCATAAGCAAATGAAATTGAATATGTTTAAAAATAAATCATTTTATTACGGCAGTAGTTAAAAGTATGTATATACTTCAATCCATTAATAGAAGAAAAGTATAGGGCAGTTATACTAAGGCAGACACTGCTTTATTAACTGTTAAGAAATATTTAATGACGATAAAATTGACAATTAGATATTTAAATCTACTAATGCGTTCATAACCAATGCTTTTTTACTATTTTAAAATATTTCTTATCAGTTGAAGAGCATTTATTTTCACTAGTAATAAATCATTTCTTAAGAGTAATAAATCTCTTCCATCTGTGTATATCACAAATATCACCCGAGTCAGAATTTTACTCTTATTTTGCCGCTGAACCTCCTGAAGTCAGGAGCATCAGCGGGAAAAAATTATTTTTTCGTATAAGAAAAATAATATAAAATATTTTTATATTTTGCCGCTAAACCCCCTTCATAATTCCCGATTCAGGGGCTTCAGCGGCATAATATTTTTAAAAAATTCAGGGGCTTCAGCGGCAAAAATAATTTCAAGGGGTTTAACGTAAAAAAAAATTCAGGGGGTTCAGTGGGATTTTTTCATTCAGGGGGTCTAGCAGGAAGTAGAGAAAAATCGTTGGTGTTCCCGGCGGTCACCCATCCAAGTTCTGTACACGAGAAATTTTGCTTAACATCGAGAGATCGAGTACAGGTTCCTGCATCCACTGCGCTGTGTCGAATTTATAAATTTTTTTTTTTTTTCTACTTATTTAAATTCACAATAATGAATATTATAAATGAAATACTATTAATATTCGGGTTTTATATTATTTTTCTTATACGAAAAAATAATTTTTTCCCGCTGATGCTTCTGACTTCAGGAGGTTCAGCGGCAAAATAAGAGTAAAATTCAGACTCGGGCAGTGTTATCTAATATCTTAATTATCATATTCGAATTTATCATCAAGTTCTTTCGACTATTTCTCAAATGTGTTTGTTAGTTGGCAATGGGGACGACGCGTTCGTAATGGGGATGCGTTCGTGATGGGGGCGTGTTGTTCATACGATATTTTAGAGTCGTATAGCATGGTTTTAGGTAGAAGATCGACCATACTCGAATTGTAGGTTGTCGGTTTAGGTGTTACTCATTTTTGTTTAAAAAACGAATTATTGTTAATTATTTATACCATACATAAATTTTATTATCACATTTGTATACATTAAGAACAAATTATTATTTTTTTTTTAATTAATTTGTTACATAAAAATATATAAACTATATTTGAATCATGGAAGGAAAAGGTTATGAAAGATATTTGGATCCACACAACAATGAACCGATGCCACGGACGACAGCTTTTCGATTAAAAAAACAGATGGAATCTTCTGAACAAGAACAATCTTTATTGAACGTAAGTAACATACGTTAAATATACGATTAAAATATAATCCATATACGTTACGCGACATAAATGCTGTCTCAGTTCGGTATAAGAAAGTATAGGGAATCTCATGTATAACCTAAAAAAAAAACTTAAATCGGACGGCATTCATGTCGCGTGGTGAATCGCACATGTGCGAGCAATCGTAGGTTTAAATCCTCGACTGGAGATAACTTTATTAGATGAAAGATGTTTTCTTCCGAGATCGCTAATCTGTCGTTAGTTATAATTAAATGATTCATTGTGAATACACTGCAAACTCAAATGTATGAGATTTAACCGAAATATGTGTGTAAATGCTTGGAAACAGATTTCACAAACATAAAAACGAATGAAACATGCACACACGCTATTTTTAGGAATTTCAGAAGTAAAGTGTGTGAATTTCAGTCGTAATCGATTTTATTTCAAAACCAATGTTTTCAAGCTTATAAAGGGTGACTAACATTTATAAGCACAATTCGCATGAACTCTTTTTTTAAAATAAGCTATTTTTTACCTTTTTTTTAATTACATATCACGAGGAAATATATCGGAAACCGAATATACATACATCTTGTGTAAGATTTTTAGAGAATTTATCGAAAAATACAATGAGTTCAGTTCGAACTGTTTACGATGAATAGTTTTCAAAATATGAATTGTTTAATCGGAACTCGTGTGACTGTATAATAAACAAATTACTCTAACTTTTGGGCAAATTAACTTTTTTTAAGTATTTCTTTCTTTCAATAAAAGCTGTGACTATCTGTAATACATAAACAGAATGGACATCAGTTAAGGAAGTACTGGAGGTACAGAAAAAATCAAAACTTTTATCGACAGTGGATATCTAAAGTAGGGTTAAGTAAAATATGAATTATACTTTTTCTGGGACTGTATAAAATTTTTAAAAACAGTAAAAATGTCATTTATATTAAACTTGAATCATTTTTTTCTTCATAAATTAGTTATTTTGACTATAAAGTATCGAAAGAAATCATCAAAATATTTAAAACAACAAATTTTTTCATTTTTCACATGATGGCTGAGCTATTTTATAGATTTAGTATATTTTAATTAAATTTGTTTATATTAATAAGGAACCTATTAAATGTTTTTTTCTCAAAAACATGGCATAAATATTCCAATTTATATGTGACGACATTTTAAGTTATCTCCCACTTCTTTTAATATGTTAAAAGTGAAAAAAAGAATGACATGTGACGTTTTTCGTACTCTACCAATGTTAAATTATGGATTTTCATTAATTTTTTCTCGAAAACTACGAACCTTAGTAATTTGACCTTGAGAACCTTTTTTGTGTGTCTTATATCAAACTTATCTATGGTGTAAAAGTTAATATTCATCATTTGTGATTACCTCCCATACCTCCTTAAGTTGCTTAAATTTGGAAAATAAAAGATCAATTTATTCAATGAATTGAACAAAATTAAATAATGAGTAATAAAATGAAATTAAAGAGTTTTCAAAGCGTATTGACTAGACCATTAGACACTTTTTCGATATCTTTGAAAATTTTTTTAAATATCTCAAAAAATATCATTCAGATGATCTGAAAGACAATAATCAGTCAGATGTAGGACTCGATTTCGAAACCAGAAAGTCGCGACTTAGAAAACTTAACGAGAGAGGATTCCTTTTAACTTTATCGAAAAAATATCTGAAAGGAAAGGTATCACACATGTATAATCATCTTCGATTTGCAGTGTAGAACTTAAAAAAAAATAATAATATACTTTTAATAAAAAAAATTAATTTTGTGGAATATTTTACATCGGATAAACTGTTCACAATAGGATGAAAATATTCTGATCAGTGTCGCTATGTGTTTCATAACAAAACTTGTTTTTTGTCAATCTTTCAAAATTAATTATGACATTCAATTTTTTAGTTAAATGAAAGGGAAAATCTTTCTACTACTAAACATTCTTCTTCTGATGATGAATATTCAAATCGAACTGACGATAACATGGAGAGAATGTCTATATCGCCACCAATTGGAGAAAAAGTTATCAACAATCACTGTGGGTGGCATCAATTTGACTTTATAGACAGTGACAGCGAAGATGAAACAATCAACGATACAGATGTTTGGTTCGATGTAAGAAATTAAGAAAATGAAAAAATTAGCTGTACCAAAATTTCTTTAAAAGTTTTTTACCAAATAGTTAAAATTCTTAATTAGTAATGAATAGCAACGGGACTACTAGCAGTACATAAATAATATATAATAATTGGTTTGCACATAAATCATTAATAATATATTGTTAACCAAGTAAACAAAATGGGTTTTTTTATCTGAGTGTATAATTGCTACCCGAGCTGTATGCGAGGGTAGCAAACACCCGAATAAAGACGTCCTGTTACGTTCCTCTAGTTAACATATGAAATTTTTTTATATTGTCGCCAAAATTGATCATTTTTCTTAGTTTCAAGGTTAGAAGGGTTTTTCTCCCTAAAAAAGACAACGCCCGTCTGTGCATAAGCACAAACGATTTCTTGTCCTTTTGTAAGGAAAGAAATCCATTGTTTTCTTACCTAGAAACAGGAAAAAAGGTTAAATTTTCGTCGAAGATATGAGAAGCAAATAACCTCTGTGACTATCAAAAAACTTTAACGAAAATTTGGTTGATAAATCTCTTTTTATTTGTCTTTAAATGTATATGGTGAATGATGGAATCAGATATTTGGGATTTATATATACATTGTACTTTTACACCCAAATTATCAGATGAAGTCTTTCATTTATTTAGCAGTAATCGTTGAAATTGATAAAGTGTTTTCAACGTAATTAAAATTCCTTTTATTTTCAGGCTGAAGATAATTCAAATCTGCCGAAGATGATGAGTCAATGAATAACGACATAGTAAGACCATTAGAAAACTAATATTATTTAATAGGTATTTTGAAGAAATATAGTTGTAATATTTTTGATTAACACTCTTTTAGCATAATGACGACGAAGCAACTTTTCTGTTAAGCCAAAGGTTATGTGAATGTACTAATACTACGAGAGGAGAAGCTGTTATGATGGTACTTTTATTAGGTGCTCAACACTCACTTACATGGACTGCAATAATTGACATTCTTTCAATGATTAATACCTTGTTTGGAACAAATGTTGTACCAGCATCAAAATATAAATTATTGAAGAATTTGTCAGTACCGGACGATGC